CCAACCCAAACCATTTGGAAATTCTGTGAAATGAAAGGTGTGAAATACCAGTCCGTCTGTGGTCAGCTGCAGCATTTTGTTTGCATGGACAGCTGAGTGCAAATACTTTTTCGAGACATCAAGAGCACATAAGTAATGCAGCCCCAATGTACCATGCAGATTTCATTCTTCCAGTTTTCTTGTCAAAAATTTTCAACTGACCAGTGAAATCCCACACTGTAATAGATTGAGGAGAGTGCCTACCTGAAGATCCTTTTTATTGTTCTCAGTATTGCCTCTTGCATTATAGACCTGTGTTACATAGATTGGATATTTAAATTATTCCTTAGTGCTACACTTAATCGCACTTCAGTTTATTGCAATAAATACATTGGATTTTATTATACTAAACATTCCACACATTAATTTTTTTTTTCTTCCCCAACTTGTAAAACAGGTTCAGCTGCAAGCATCACTTCAGCTCCTACTGCTACAACAAAAGGCCTCTTTCAGGTAACTAGAAACTCGGACTGGTTTTATGCTTCATTGTTACGGTTACTTTCGGAATTAATCTTCATTTTATTTTCTCCAGGTTGCACCTACATCATCAGGCATGACTAAACAGATGGAAACTTCCAAAAGGAGTGAGAAGGCAAAGACTGTGACTTTGTCTGAACACGCAAATAACGTAACACAGATATCTACAGCAGATGGAGTGATAAATAACCTTCAAAAGGATGACTCTCTGGATTCTGGTTCCTATGGAAAACAGGCTGAAACTCATGATAGCGGAACACCAGCCAAAACTATTGGCAGGTTTTCAGTAATCAGCACGCAGGATGAATTAACTTTAGCAGCGCCGCCCTGCTTAAGGTACTCGGCACCCCCAGACGTCTACTTGGATGAGCTGCCTTCCAGCCCTGATCTGAAGACAGCTGTCCGACGGGTGCAGATGGCCTCTTCTGTCGATGTCCTCTGTGACCAGGGTTCGAGTGATTCTGCTGATGAGTCCTTCCATCGTCAGGCAGCTGCTGCTGCCCAACTGTCCCCCCCGAGCAGTAGTGCAGCCACTGACTTAATTAAAAAAGCAGCTGCTTTTCTGCAAAGATCTGGCAAACCTAGCTCGCCAGGCCTAGATTCACCCAATGGGCAGGGGACAAAAATTCCTACCATCAACATAACATCTTTCCACTCGCAGTCCTCATACATGAGCAGCGACAATGACTCGGAATTTGAAGATGCAGACATGAAGAAAGAATTGCAGAACCTGAGAGAAAAGTAGGTTGGGTTTGCAAACAGTGCTGGGGGGGCTTGTGTTAAGACACCTAGGCAGCATCTCTGTGTATGATGACCAAATACGCGGTTTTCATAGCTGTAATTAGTAAACTTGTTCTGAGCAAGGTAGGCATCGCTAGGACCTTCCCCCAGATTCCATACTGCATCCTTTTATGCATCACTTCATTTGTCAGTTCTGTTTAAAAAGAAGTTGTTATGGAATTGTTCTGCTAAACTCCAAAATATTTCTGCTGTGGTGTCCAGTTTCCTTAGTGAAAAGGTATGTTGATATGGTAGCAAACAGTAGCACCTGTAATGCAGGATAGTAGGCTCCCATGTGGATGCTATTTAAAGTGGCATAAAAATGATCTGAATGCCTGCATGGACAGCTGCCGTAGTGTTCTCTTCATGCCCTTCTCTGCAAGGTTGATAGACTCTCAGGTCTACAGACCTATCACTATTCCCAGACTTGCTTTTACAGCAGATAACCTAGCATCTCTTAGGCACGTAAGACCCTCGCTTCGCCTCCCATTGGATCTCGTTTCAAGTCGTTGGTCCAGTCTAGACAGGAGACTGGGTGAGCCTGGCAGGGGTCCAGTCCTGAGGGCTAGCTGCTTTAAATATGAACGTTTTTTTTCTGTCCTGGCAGGTGATGGGTAAAAACTAGCATTAGATGCTAGTTTAAGCAAAATGTTACGCTTCTTTGTAAAGTATAATGGTTTTACTGAATATAGATGATGCATCTTTTTAAAACAGAACTACAGTAATAGAAAACCTTTAAACCGACTTTATAATGAAAACTGCATTATGAGGTAATGATTCACGTGCTAATGGAATTGTTATGGGAAGCACTTTTGTTTTTCTTCACTCCTTCAAACTGATGTACATGCCTTGAGAAGGCCACTTTTTTGAAGCCACTGGTTTGAAAAGAGACATTCTGGAATAGTTTGGCATTCCTGTTAGATCTGATGTCAAAATCAGTGCTTTTACTGAGGATGTTTAAGACTTTTTTAGCTGTCTAGGATTCTGTCATATACATGAATATTTTAGAAGACACCATATTTGCCACGTAGATTGTTATAACTGCACATACTTTTGGATGAGCAGTTGGTAGTTTTATAACCAAAGTCTGTTTTGTTTCTGTTTAGTAACAAATTACCCTCTCGAGATGTAATGCTTTATCAAATATATCACTAGCAGAGTTCTTTTATTGTTTACATTTAGACATATGAAAGAAATTGCTGAACTTCAGACTCAGCAGAAGAATGAGATAGAGGCACTGTATATTCGGTTAGGGAAACCCCTTCCTCCCAACATGGGGTTCCTTCACTCAGCCCCACCGAGTGGCCGTCGCCGAAGAACCAGCAAAAATAAATTGAAAGGTGGAAAACTACTAAACCCTCTGGTCCAGCAGCTCAGAAGTGGAACATCAAGCACAAGTAGGTACACTAGGTGCTTTCCCTATGCCTGTTGTTTGTGCCGGTTCTGGTTCTGCTGCACAGTTGCACGACTTGCAGGAAGGGCACTGAAATGTTACTGGTTTTAATACCACAACTCAGGTTTGCATAGTGTGAACAAAGGCATTTTGGTGATGAAGTCTCTTTACCAGGGATAGCCATTTCAAGTGGGCTTCCTTGGGGACAGGCTTATTCCAGCTGTGCAGTGCTGAACCACGCATACCTTCTCTGCACTGGTTACAATGCTTGGCAGAGAAACGATATTCCACTTTAATTTGGAATACAGCCTGGTTACATTTTTTCATACTTTCTCCAAATGCAGTTTATTGATGTATGTATTCAATTCCTAGGTGCTGTTATCCTCTGTTGATTATGTGCTGTATCTTGTTGTTTTTTATTTTTCCTACAAGATGCCATATAAATAAGTTTGGATTGCATTTGCTCCCCCAAAGGATGGGAGGTAAAGGGAGTTATAAAACTGTGGTGGATGCTTTGACCATTTAAAGTAGTGTGAGATTTTTCAAACAGTGGTACAGTCCTGAGCCATCATCTCATTGGAAGGTATAAAGATACAATTCAGCTGGGAAATGTTGATGTACCCCAGTACCCGTTTCTTCAGTAAAATGTAGAATAGAATATGAATTATTTTTCAGTATCTCAGTTCATGCTGTTATTTAGAGGAGCAGCAGCACTTCCAGCATTATCCCTGTATTTCAAACCTGGTAGCTCTTGTTTGCAAAGTCACTGCATCAAAGGTGTACTTCGAATTTCATTGCATCAATTTTAATTATAGAGTGTTTTGGAGGATTTTGCTTTTCATCAAAGATTTCAACTGAGAGAGGAAAAACAAATATATTCAGAGGCAAAGAACGTACTGTGATCCATCTTGAAGCTTGGTATTCATGCCTAGAGGAACTGAAGCAACGTTTGATGCTTTATGCCTTTTCAGCTGCTGACGTGCATGGCTTCAGTTCCTTTCCTTGTGATGAGACTCTCTGCATGTCTGTTCGCCTTGGTCCACTCATTTTCCAGTTTGTTCCTGGGTTCTCTCTGGCCATTTTTCACTCTGTCTATTCATAAATCCCACGTCTGTCTCCACTCATGGATTTTGGCTCATATCAGTGTGCTACCCTAGGCCAAATAATGTAAGCTTATTTCTGCATAAAATGTCCCAATTCTACTTTTTTTTTTTTCCTCTTCACCTTCAGTTAGAGAACAGAAATCTGCTCAGTCAGACTTTGGGGCATGCTTTCCTTCATGCATTTCCTCAGTGTTATTTTCCAGCTTTTTGAGGTGCTGTGTAAAATTCACATTCTCTTTGAGGATCTGTATTCATAGAATCACAGAATGGTCAGGGTTGGAAGGGACCTCCAGAGATTATCTAGACCAACCCCACTGCCAAGGCACCCTCATCTAGAGCTGATGGCACAGGAATGTGTCCAGGTGGGCTTGGAATATCTCCAGAGAAGGAGACTCCACAGCCTCTCTGGGCAGCCTGTTCTAGTACTCTGGTACCCTCAGAGTAAAGAATTTTTTCCTCAAGTACAGGTGGAGCTTCCTGTGCTCCAGTTTGTGTCTGTTGCCCCTTGTCCTGTCACTGGGGCCCACTGAAAAGGGTCTGGCCCCATCCTCGACACCCGCAGTTTCAATATCTATAAGCATTGATGAGATTCCCTCTCAGTCTTCTCCAGGCTAAACAGACCCAGTGCTCTCTGCCTTTCCTCATAAGCATTCCCAGGACTGTTCCCTGAGGAACCCCACTAGCCACAGGCTTCCAGCTAGACTCTGGGCTGTCAGTCACAACCCTCCGGGTGAACAACTCTACATTCAGCCAGTTTTCAACCCACCTCACTGTCACCTATGTAGATTCATTTTTTTGACCTTCCTAGGTCCTCTCTCGGGGATTATGGGTAGGCATTTTCTAATACGGTTACTGATGTAATTGTCATTTCCACTGTTAGATAAATCCGTGTAACATGATTACAAAGGTATTCTGGTGGTAAAGCCTCTTTACCCGAGATACTCATGTAGATAGATACATACAGATATTTTGATATAGGCATCTGTTCATGTATATATAGATAGCTATAAATACAGTTATAGCTATAAAAAGTTCCTCATGTTTTGCAGCAACTTTTTATTTCTCTCCATCTGCTTCCATGTTTGAGAGCAAGCCTACGTGTTCTGCTCGGTTATTGTGTGTGTTCGTTGTCCTGCTTAGGCACTTCTGCAGGTCTAACTTTATTTCAGCAGTGTTCCTTGGGAGGTCCAGACTCCGGGCTTTCTGAAAAATGCAGAAAAGAACCTGTAAAAATCAAACCTGCTCCATAAGCTTCTTGAGGATCTGGATCAGCAACAGTTTGTGTAGATTATTTTCAGGTTCAGACTCTCCATAAAGTTGGTGCTTCATAGAGTTCCTCAGAATTGTAAACCTCTCTTAGTGGCAAAGGAGCGATTAGTTTTAGGCACAGACTTATTCAGTGGTTTCCTAGCGTTTGCTGTTGCATGTATTCTGTTTGTTTGCTCTTTCAGATAATCTTTCAGACTTTAAAGACTCACGCCACAAAGACACAGCTAAAGTTCAGCCTGGCTCTCCGGAAGCAGCAGCAGTAACTTCCCCGGCATCAGCCGCCTTTGGGAAGGCTGTTCAGACACAGCAGCCCTGCTCTGTCAAAGCCTCTTTGTCTTCTGACATCTGCTCCGGCCTAGGCCCCGAAGGAGGCGACGTGAACGCAAGCACTGGCCAAGGTGATTTTTGTCATACCAGCTGTTCAGCATGTCTTCCAGCACATGCTAAAATTAGTTCTCTTCCTTATGCTTAAACTTTTTAGGAGTGGATTTCAATTCTAGTGATACAGGAACATGAACCTTTCACAATCCAAATTACTGGCTTATCTTTAAAAAGATTGTTGCAGTATTGTCAGAGGTACAATGGTGAAGAGTCTTACCAAGTCTTAAGAGTCAGCACGCAAGAAGGGAGGATAATTTTTAGGAAGAAAATACCTTTTATTTTGCCAGCAGTGGCCTTATACTGACACCTTTTCTGGAGTCTGCCTTACAGATTTCTGAGAAAAATGAGAGGAAAACAAAAAAAATACAGAAGCATAGGAGATTGGGTTCATTTGGGGCTTTTTTTTTTTTTTTTTGTCCCTTGATACTGGTAGACCCAGAGTTAGTTTCTCATTAGAAACTACCAAAACATCTTGGGGGAGGGGGATGGGACCCAAACAAACAAAACCAAACCGAAAAAAACAAAGCCAGAGTACCAAGCTGTTTCCTTTATGTAAGGGGTTAACTTTGTGCGTGATTTTGGAGTCCCAGCTAAATGACTGTCAATTGGCTCTGTTCCCCAGTCCTGACCTTTGATACTTCTGTGTATTGCACACCTCCGTAGGCTTTGACTGATCTTGTTGCCATGCATACTGGAAGTTATAATGATGATTAAAATACCTTCCTCTCATTGCACATCCTGCCAAACTAATCTGCAAAATACCTATCTGTTCTCTTCTGCCGTTACTGCATCCTTTGTGTATGGTCAATTAACTTACTCCTCTTTGGCAAAGTTAAAATGGAGATGTGGATGTTTAACAAAGCTGATTTGACTGATGGTATAGGACATCTGATCACAGCTACTTGTACTTTATAAGTGTCTTTGTTTTCTTCCCTTTATATTCATTTGCAGGCTGGACGGTTTTCCACCAAACGTCTGAGAGAGTGACCTATAAATCTAGTAGCAAACCTCGTACCAGATTCCTCAGTGGACCTGTGTCTTTGTCCATCTGTTTGTATTTGTTCTTTTGTATTTTATCACAGTCCATCTTTCTTTTATCCCCGTTTTCCAATTCCATGGTTTATATCTCTAATATGTTTGGCAGGATGCCCCTGTTTCTGAACCATCTTTTCTTTCTTTTTACCTTTCTTTTAAGTAATCATCATGAACATGCCTTATTTACATTAATTTTTCATATGAAAGCTTTTTTTGCACTGCTTTTGGCTCGTGCCTGGGCACCAAAAGCATGTGTGGAAGATCTCATCATTTATTATATAGCCTTATGGTAAATTCTGCCCTAGACTTATCAAAGCTTTTGTACTTTGTGATTTATGTTGAAGTAATTTTATTTGCAATGTGGCAAATATACATGTCTGCTGTCCCGGTTCCAGCGACAACAAAAAGAAATCCATCCTTCTGTAGACGAATGGTCTCTTTCACACATGTTTGGACTATGAAGACATGCATGTAGCAAGCTGATACAATACTAGAAGGTCACTGAAGGGTATAACTTCCATAAAAGGGCTGTATTAACACAATATACAGTATTGTTTATATCCACTCTTTCTTTATTTTTTTCCTGCTCTTTGCATGTGGAAATGCTGAGACAATAGTGCTCCAGCTAGTTCTTTCAAAATCTGTTTTCTAGGTGGGCTTTTCCGCATGCTTTTGCTTTGATTACTTTGTCAGCAATTTTTTTATATACTTGTAAGCAGCAGGAAGATCTGGTTACTCCAGGGGAGGGTGCCCTCAACTTTTTTTGTGTAAGCTGATCTGGCTGAAGCACTTCGCTCAGTTTATTTTCTTATGACCATATGTGACCTCAGAGATGAAGTCAATTAGCAGTTCATCAAAGCATAAGTTAAAAGCAATATTGGATGTTCAAATGATACTTTGAAATGGATTGCTAGGATCCACTCTTTTTTTTTATTGCAAATAATTGTGCACCTGCTATTTCTACCCTAATTGTGTCACTACTAAAGTAATTGGCAATTCAACCAAGCGATATCAAGCTATTTAATTAAGAAATTGACCTTTTTACCTAATCTTATATGCTGCTTTTTAGGCAAACAGATTTTGCTTGTACAATAAAGATATGTTGTGCTGAACAGGTACTATAGGCCACTTACATATAACATTAGAAAGGCTAATAATGTTCTTGAGAAAATGTTTGGTTAACTAACTGTGCATTCATACCAGATCTCCCGTTGGAGTTCTACATTGCTCATCATTATTCAAGTGGTACAGATCAAAGGCACAAGACCACTCAAATACACTCCTCCTAATTTTATGAATAAACAATATTTTTAACAATAATCTTGATATTTTTTTGTTTGAGGTCCCTAAATGTCCAAACACTCAGGTTCTTGAAAACTGATGTTTACTGCTTGGCATACTGAATTTATCATTAATTTTATCATGCAAGTTTTTAAACGACTCTTGAAGTCATGAGACAATTTTGCATTCAGGGAATTTTTCTGAGAACCTGAGGGGAATGCTCAGTTCACAAGTTCTCCCTTTTGGTATTATAATGGACATCATAGTTTCTTCCTTTGCACACGTAATTCCCAGAAGTAGTTTCCTTAATTTTTCACAGAATTACTATTCAGTAGGATGCATCAAGGCTGGGAGATGGCAATTAAAAACCAGCATATTAAAAATGTTTGGGTGCATGGATATTGTGAATGAAACCAATGAAATATGTAAATCCTTCAAATCATGAAGTTTCCCGATGCTTAAATAACTTGGCATGACTAATTGCTTTCTGTTCTCAGCCCATATGTTCTCTTCTCGGTTTCTTCTGGGCGAAGTGTTCAGAGAGGAGGTTTGCACTCCCTGTTTGAGTCATAGGAGGAGATGGACTGTTTCAGGCACTTAACCCTGGAGTGCCTGGCAGAGTTAAACAGCGGCACGCATCCATCCAAAATCACTGCCGCTCAGAGAGCGCAGCTTACCAGTCACTTGAGTTGCTAGACAGGTTTCCACAGCTGAATTACTAGTGGGTTTTGATGGGGATAGGAGGTGATGTCAGCTTGTTTCCGCCTTGAGTCCAATGGTTTGGTAGCATGTGTGAAGGGATGAAGATGAGGCTGCGTTCCCCAAGGGCAGCTGGGGCTGGGACTACTGCGGGAGGCACTGGTGGTGCTACCAGCATCACTGTTGGCTTCAGGGAGAAGGGTGCTAGCTGCTGCGAGCACCAGCTGGCTCACGCTCCTTCCCCAGGGAGGGGACGTAGGTTGACCCAGCACGCAGGCAGAAGCAAGCCGAGGACTAGGTGCTGAAGGTGCCGGGTGCTGGGGTCAGCGGAGAGCGAGCGGGGCTGTGGCTGCCCAGTGCAGGCAGCTCAGTATCCTGGGTCTCTTCCACGAGCCGAGGTTTCCCTGAGATTTTTGGTGTTGCAGAGCGGAAAGATTCATAGATTGAGATTCATGTATTGAGGGATTTTCAGAAATGCTCTCGATCTGTGTTTGATTAAGGGAAAGTAGCCCTTTGGGGAGCTTGGATATTCCAGTGTGAGGCCGGTACTGTTGTTAGCAGACAAATTAGCAGCACACTTTCAAAAAAGCAATATCCGGATGCATCAAAGAGAGTTTCACCAAATACCTTCCCCCGGTTACAAAATCCATCAAAACTGAACGCCTTCATAGTCTTCTCCCTGAACAACTTTTTGATCTGTTCCCCATGTCCAATATTGACTTTTCCTTTGCTCTTTTCAAGGAATAAAATATTTTTGATGGGCTTCAGCATAATTTTAGCCTGAGTTCCTTCCCTGGGTTAAATTGCAAATGCATCTTGGGGAAGAGTTTCTGCTGATTGTCAGTGGAGTTTTCAAAAGCTCCATTTGGCTTAATCTTGTAACCTTGTGTAAAGCAATTTTTGTCAGGTCTGTAGTAATTAATATATTGTATGTGCATATGCAGTTATGGAAATGGTCTAACAATTTATTGCCATTTCAATTTTATTTTAGCTTTCAAGCTTTTTGGCAGCTGTTCGTGTAAATATGGGACAGTGAATTTTTTTTTCTGTCCTGTATGATACAATAACTACTTAATTTCTCAGATAAGAAATCTGGAATTGGTGCTAAAACACTGCTGAAATTTTGCACTCTTAGATTAAATCTTAATTATGATTAATCTCCTTAAATTTACAGCTATTTAACACCTTGATTTTTAGAAATAATACAATTAATCTAGTGAATTAGGTTTACCAAGAGCATTTTTAATGGAATTTGAATTTGAAACCAATTATAGCAAATGATTGTCAGTCCCTGCTTCAGGCAATATCACCACTTAGATAACGTTTCTCATCTCCCAAGCAACATGCTGGAGTGATGCGTTTGGAAGAAACAGCTCTTCTTGGTGGTTGACTTGCCAAAATATTTGGTGTAATATTTTCCTTAACATTGGACCCCTCACACAGGTATTTTGTGAGTCGGTCCAGTATCACTGTTTGCTGTCTCTTCCCCACACGTATGGGGGGCCCAGGTTTGATTTGACACCTGAGGTGTATGTAAACTTGTGACTCGGTTTTCAGGAAGCAGAGGGGTTGGTGATTAAGTTTTTTTACATGCATTTGAGCATGTTCTGTAGCCAGCTGCCTGCATTCGTTTTTTGCAGGCAGTTGCTTTGCATTTGCATACATACTGTGCCAAATAGTGCTTATTGCTGCGTGCAGATTGCTGCAGGATAGTTAAGAAAATAGCATTCTAGTATTACTGCCACTGATGTTTCCATACTCAGAGTTGCTAGCTAACTTTAAGCGGTAGGCAAGGTAAGGTATATCTGAGGGAAAAGAGGGGAAAAAATTAAAGATACAATGCAGATTGTTCAGTTGTGAATGTGACTTTTATTTGTTATCTAGGCCTTGAGATGAGAAGCTAAACTTGGTCATGCTTGCATAAGACATTACTGTAGTCACATCCTGATTTTCCTGGGATCGAAACTTCATTAAACTCTATGAAATAATAAGAAAATCTTTCAAAGCAATCCTTCTGTTCCTCCTCACACCACCCCTATCAAAACACAAACATTCCTCCCTTTTTTTTCCTCCCTCTTTTCTTTACTTTCTCTTCCTCAGTCTCTGACTGATGTCTCTCCTTTCTCCTCTGAAGACTCATTCAGAGCCTATGTCAACCTGGACCTGCAATCTCAGAGTTTAAAGCTGCATTTCTGGCACAGTAACAAACTAATGACACTGTTTGCTGTAGAGAAAAAGCACATCCATCCTGTATCCCCGCATCCTTTTTGCCCCACACTCTGATTTTGCTCATGTTTTCAAGTGCTTCTTCACAATAAACTTGCCATGCCCCATGTCAGATACTCATTCCTTCCCATCCCATAATGATATTCTTCTTACCCAGTCCAAAATGCCTTTCAGGAAATGTGGCACTCGAATAGAAATGGTGCTTATGTCTGGCAAGATCTGACAGTAAAGTAGGGTCCTCGGTACACTTCTGGCACTGCTTATCCAAAAGAATATGTAAAATCATGATGAAGGATGTAACGAGGTAATAACGAGAAAACCACCTAGTTTGGTTAAATGAAAACTCAGCTACGCTGCTGGAATGCTTTTCTGCACTTGGACAAGGCATAAGGGAAACTCATTCACGGTTACTTTCAATTGAAGTTCAGAATCTCACATTTAGACACAAATCCTACTAAGAAAGTATTTGGAAACAATTGGCCTCAGACCTGCAGAACAATGTATCTTTTTGGACTCGTAAAACAGGACTCGCAGAGTTGTTTTACAGTTTGTCTTTGCAGCCAGACTAGCTTGACTTGTTCCTGAAAGCATTTTTGGCCTCCTATCACAAACTGAATTGACATCATTTCCTGCATAAATAGAGTAGGAATCAAAACCTCCTATTAGGAAGCCAAGGCAATTAAAAAAACCCAAACAAACAAACAAAAAACCACAAAAAAAAAACCCAAACAAATGCATCTTTAAGTCATGAGACCTTGCTTTTGGCATGCTCTTGTACTTTTCGAAGCTTCTGAATGGCTGCACATTAAGAAAGGTTTGAGCTGTCCAGTTACTTAGACTTCCTTTACTCACCTGAACTGCTGACTTTGTCTGTCCTCTCTTGCATAATAACTACTTTTTGATTGCTTAAAAGTACAGAAGCTTGTCCATCAGATTTGTCGTGTTTAGTCTTACCTAATTCTGTATGTCTTGTATTGTTTTACCTTGTAGGGTCCACCTTGAAACGACTATGTCTAGGCAAAGATCACAGTAGTAGTAACTATCCCATTTTTGTTTCTCAGTATTTCCTTCATGGCATGGGATGTCTTTTGCTTTTTTTTTAAATTATTTTTTACTAAAAGCTAGTTGTTTAATGAATAGAGCTGATGCCCTTATACTGATATGAAATTAGACTGCAAGTTGTGATACTTTCGTAGTAATGCATGTGCTGTGATGCCTTGGGAACCACGCATGCTGCAAGACCGTTGTGGTATTCTTTGTGTGTGAGACTGTGCACGCATGCTGTGAGAGAACTGGATTCAGTGTTTGTCTCTCTGAAGTACACACCTCTATATGACTGCGGTTCTCTGCTGGAGGAATTTATAGCTTAAAAAGATCTCTGTCCTGTTGAGGTGCATGAAATTTTGAACACTAATTGAAGAGCTTTCCTGTCAAAATACGTGTTTTTCTCACTCGTCCCTTTCCCTCAAGCAAAGGAAAAGGAAATGAGCAGTATTCACTTAGTTAGGTTGCAGGTTGAATGCATGATCATTTAAAGGTTATGAATGTATTTTAAATAACCATAGGACTAATTAGTTTACTTGGTTTCATTGACTGGTAACTGATTAGCAGAAAAAAGACGACTGAATGTTCATGTTTGCTTATATAATAACTTTACTACAGTTCTATGAACATTTTGCTTGGAGAGATGGTCTTTATTTCAAATCTTTAGCTATGTCAAATAAGTTAGCTGAAAAGTTACTTTATATTGCCTGTTTAGGTCAAATTCAGGCACCTTCAGTTGCTGTTCCCTGCTGATCTTGCTGTGTCAGACTTGTAGTTGCCAACACACAAAAAGGACAGGTTTTTGGTTTTTTTTTTTTCCCTAGTTCTTCTAGAAATAAATGAATATATAAAATTAAATCTCTGTCAATACTCTTCCTGTCTGCTTTTATCTATACCAAAAGCTCTGTATCTTTATCTTTGCCTCAAAAACTCACACACTCACTATGTCCTCCTCTCTCTTCTTTCTTCTGTACGCTCATGGTCCTGGTGGGTTTTTTACCCACAAAATATGCAGATGGCAGAGTAAATGGTCCTAAGATCATCAGGAGAGGGTTCCCAGAGCCTTCGAGGCCTAGTAGCCAACCCTACTTGTAAACTACATGAAAATTACTTTTTTCCAGGAGGACAGTGAACTTATGCAAGTAAAATAAATGGTAAATTCATTTTTAAAGGTGTGCAGTTCTAGTAAGCAGTACATCCTGCCTCCCACTCTCTCATGGTAGTCTCTTTGTAAAGCCTGAGGATGTCAGTGCTACTGTGACTGCATTCATTAATTCTCTTGCAGTCACTAATTTCGCCTAGAGGGAAGTTGTGGGTGCAACAGGTAGTGGCTGAGGTAACATAATGTGGTAGAAAATACAAGCACATTGGACTCGGACCATTTCTTTAAGCAAAGGTGTTCTGTAGAAAGGAGGGGGAGGGTTAAAAGTCCACAAAGCCATCATTTGAATTGCAGTAGATGAGAAAGTGTTTGAACAGTCAAGTGGTGAAGCGGAGATGCCATTGTCAACTTTCTTTGTGACTTTCCAGGATCCTCGACAAACAGTCTCGTAACGTGTCCTGAGCCCCTCCAGCAATCAACCCTGCAGGTTCAGGCCAACAACAGTAACAACAAGAAAGGCATGTTCACAGACGATCTTCACAAGCTGGTTGACCAGTGGACAAGCAAAACTGTTGGAGCCGCACAGACAAAACCTTCTTTAAACCAACTGAAGCAGAACCAAAAAAGGCAAGACATGGAGCCAAAGGCTAACCCCATGCAAACACAGAGTGAGACATGTGGAGTAAGTGGCACTCCTTGAAGAACGTACCTTTTGCTATGTGTCTGACAGCCTTTGCAGAACTCAGATTTGGAGGAGAACATAGGCTAAAATTACTTCAGATAGATGCTTCCTATAAATGTTCATCTCTTTTCATTAACTACTAAACCAGTTGGTTTTTTTTTAATTGTCTTTTGGGACAATCTTGAGGGATATATGGGCTGCAATATATATATAAAATATCTATTTTTGAATTGCAAACTGCTTATTAACAGGAATATATAGCAATACTCATACTGTTAACCATATGTTGCTCAACTTACGTTTTAACTATTTCTAACGTTTTCCTCTTTTTGATGTTTAATATTAATCTTCCTTAGGCAGAACAGTGACTGGGCTGGTGGCTTGGCGAGCCTTTGGTTTAGTGGAAGCGGAGTGAGTACTACGCTGAGACAGGGCACAGCCAGATGGGTTTCTAACCTAGGTTGTTGTATCGGGCATTTTTGAGGCTCTCTGCCTCATGAAAATACCATCTTTAGAAATGCTGTCAAAGTTAACTACAACAAACTGGAAGCACCCCCATTCATCCCCTTTGATTTTTAGCAGCTGGGACGTGCATTTGTGTCTGTTCAGTGCCTATTTTCATGGCTGAGTGATGATACAAAGGCAGGCACAAAGGTGTATGAAGATATGTCCAGAATCCCAGTTTACCATTCTGTCCCACCCTGGTCTGCGTTTCCAGACCTCCTCTTCCTTCTCATGGTCAGATGCTTATTTGACAAATAATTTTTGCTGAATGCATTTTTTGGAAGACTGGAATTTGAGCCAGAGTAGAGGAAAATAAATTTATTTTAAAAGCAAAGAAATAGCAAGAAGAAAACCAGTGAGGGACTGCTTTGTAAACCCTTGAAAACAAGATAACTGGATCTGGATAGTAAACCATTGCCTTTTTGGCATGTAGAGGGAAAAAAAAACCCACTTGTATGTGGTAGTGGTAGCTCTGTAGTTATTCATGAGGTGAGATGTGCCAGAGAGGAACCACACTACGACGTCTGCTTTGGTACCTGCTGGTTTCGAAGTTGGTAGGGTCACTGACTTCACAGGGGGAAGTGTTCATGCAAATTTATTAAGCAATTTTATGTCAATTCTCAGTTGCCCTAAATGAACGAAAACTGGAGAGTAACTGTGTCGTGGTGGTTTAACCACCAGCAGAAACCTGTTCTGGAGTAACGGTGACATCTACTTAAGGCCCTATTGGTTCTCACAAAATAAGTCAAAGGACTTATTAGGAAACGTGAAGACTTCTAGGAAGTGATGGTGAGGGCACAGATGTGTTAAGTAATTCCTTACCCTCTTCTGATGTGCTTTTTGTAGCTTGATGTCTTTTTCCCAAGACTCCTGCAGTAGTTTGAAGTATTCAGTGGGGTTGTTCTGCCCACTTAGAACTCTGAAAAAGAGAGGGGTTATTTTGCTTATTTAAATCACCCGTTAACATTGATTTAGGGTTAATTTTGCCTTCTGCAGTCTTGATGTCTCTGTTTCAAAGCCTGTGGAGACTGCAGAATATAGCTGTGAGAGGAACAGGAATGTCCCTTCCTTAATACGCTGATCTTAGAGGGTTTATTTCTTTCTAGAACATGGTAGTTGTTCCAGGGAATTAACAAGGCTGTCTTTTAGAGATAATTTACCAAGAGCTCGGAGAGGTTGCGGTCTCCTGCTCTTCATTTCACATCACTCCTTGTTGCTGAGGAGAGTGGCGGTCAGTTGGAGACCTTCAAGCCCCACGCCAGCTTGCCCTGGGTGGTTCTGTGCATAAAGTTCTTGTAGGGCCGTGCGGGCTGCAGAAGAGATGCAAAGGTAGATGACACAGCTTCCTAGCGTGGTTAGTGCTGGGTTTGTCTGGCCAAGATGGCACTGCGTGCCGGAGATGACAGAAAACGGGGCGGTGGGTGTAATTCAAAAGACTTTTACAATAGCACAAGGACTGTTTTGGGAGCTGAGCATCATTCTGCTAATTGTGCCTCGTGAAAATTCACCCTAAAGGGGAAATTGAAGTTAAGGGGGGAGGGGGCTGTGTGATACTGGGAGAAAAAATAGCCAAAAGGGGAGGAACAAAATTGTGTAAAAGGACCCTTAGCCTGGACAGCCAGACAAGTGACCCATCATCAGTTCTTGGAGTGCTGCGTTACATGGAGAGATGTTACACCTGCACTGAATCGCTGTTGAGTCTACCTTTTAAAATGGTATTGAAAAGACAAAGAACTTAGGAAATCACATAAAGGCTGGAAAAAATAGCTTTCTAATAGGGAGCATATAAAGCTCAGGCTATATTTCTTCAGTCCATCTGTTAACACCATATTTTTGTTGTCTTTTTGATTGAATACAAAAATGCTTTTGCAAGAAAACAATGAGCGCTAAACAGATTTCTAGCCCATCAGAGAAAGTTATAGTAAGGTTTTGTGTTGGAATCAAAGGCTAGATAAATTGGAAATGTGGTGAGTCTTACCCCCCTCCCTTTTTTTTTTAACTGGAACAAACTCGCAGAAACTGTTAGGGCAGGTTGTTTCGTGTCTTCAAACTGGGTACTTTTTTTAGGAGATGTTCTTGTTTGTCCTGTGCGATGATCAGAAATGAGGGACAGGAGGGAGGCAGTATTCATACCTTCGCTTCTAAATTTTCTCTGGAGGTTGCTGGACAGAAAGATGTCTCCTTGAAGAGTTTTTAAACAGGAGTAGGAGTGATCCAAGTTGTCCCATGGTGCTCTGTTGGTTAAAGGTCCCCTGGAATTGGCACCACACAGAGATCTTGTACGTGAGACAGAGGCCACGTAGGCAATGAGCATCCTCCTGGGTGGAAGTCGAGGGCTTCTGTTATACAGGGTATGATAAAGGATCAAACCAAGTGGCCCCTTTCTATTCTGTATTCATTTTTTTTTCAATCTCTTAGGCCAAAGGAAAATTGCAACAAATCCTTATTGGTAATTTTAGTTTTTTTATGTAGTCTTTTCTTTTACTGTCCATCCACTGTTATTAATATGCAGGTTAATCGTGTGGACAATTTCAAGTCTTCTCTTTCACCCTGGAAACAGGACTAATCTCCTGAGTTATCTTTTTCCTTGAGATGCTTCTACCGCCATTAGCAAATTGTTTGCTGTGTGAATACAACAAATTATTGCTACCTTTTTTTTTTAACTAAGTGACGGCTACTCTTTAAGGTTGGAAGTCAACTGGGAAGAGAAGTTGGTGGTGTATGTAATAAGAGTTAGTGGTTTTATTTTTTTCAGAAACATAGAAATTAATGTAATAATTGAGTGGCAAAGGAAGATTTTAGAGCTTTGTTTTGTGGAAGCTACCTGTTGGTTTGGCTGAAAATCCTGGTTGATACATATTAGAAGTCTGGGGGGAAACCTTCAGGCATCCAGTTACATCACAGGAACACTGACATGTTCCTTTTCAAATGTTTTATTTAAACACACAGATTCTTATTTACCAGTAATTTTAAATGTAGTAAGAGGTATTAGGAAGAACTGAAGTCAAACTGCCTGATAATAGTTATTTCTCTTGTGCTCATCTGTGTTGAAGACTTGATGAAATTACCTTTTTTTACAGGTAATAATGGTTAGTGCTAGTCAGGGAATATGCCTAGGAACCTGAGCTGCCTTCTGTGTTAAGAGTACCGAATATTGTGTGGTTAAAGGTGTTATTTGAAGATGCCTGGGAATAAAGGGCTTACCAAAAATGTTTTCTATTCTTCATACTGTTACATAGCTCCATGGGATTTAAAGAAGAAACTGTTACCCCAAAAAAAAGCTGTGAACGTGTTCCAAGTCCATAATAAGGTTTTTTGCTGTGAATCATGCAGGTGTGTGTCAGTTGGTGACATGCGCTGGCGCTTAGACACCATCAGTAATAGCTGCATATCTGAGTGCATTTAGTACATCTTGATTTTAATGAGCTGGCTACCTGGGAAGCAGGCTTTCTGGAGATAGCCACAGATGTGAAAATGGAGCAGAAGGACTATTAACACCACCTACTGTGTCTTCTGTCTCTATTGGGTTGGAAGAATGATAAAAAAATGGGATGGATCTGTGTTTGAAGCTATTCAACACTGCCTTCGCAGTCTGAATGTCAAAATAGCTTTCCAGGAACCTGGAAGAGCACAAGCACAAATCTTCAGTGGGACCTAATATCTTTGGGTTTTCAGCAAACTGGAAAAGGGTGATAAAAAAGATGTATCAGCATCCTTGCCCTGCTTGTGTTGGCAGCCAGCTCTAAGCCTGTTCTGTGATTCAGATCGTTTCGTTTTAATGGTAGTTGGACCGTACAAAAGTAAAAGAGTAATGCTAATAATGTAGCCATCAAAATGTAGCTGGAAGAAAAAAGATTTAAATCCTGCATTTTTAGAATGGGTTGTGATAGTTATGGTAGCAGAATTGCCCAGTTTCCTCTGCTCTAATGTAAAACCATAAATATTTATATTCAGAGAATCAGAGAATAGTTGGGTTGGACAGCAGCTCTGATGGTCATCTAGTCCAGCTCTATGCAATGAGCAGGGACATCTTCAGCCAGACCAGGTTGCTCAGAGCCCCATCCCACCTGACCTGGAATGTTTCCAGGGATGGGGCATCTACCACCTCTCTGGGCAACCTCGTCCAGTGCTTCACCACACTCAGCGTGAAAAATGTCTCTATAAAACACAACTCTTAGCTATCTACTTTCACAGTACTGTAGCTATGAATATTGCTAAAGTGGCACTTCAGAGCTTGCTTGGCAAAGCATGATGACATGGTGGAGAATTGAGAAATCCAAATAACAGATTCTTTTTCTGAACTAGGATAGCCTTTGTCCTGTGGGGTTTGTTGAATTTTTAAGGATGCTTTTGTGTATGATATTCTTTGTGTATATATTAATTCTTGTTTTCTATGATTATTTGTATATGTTTTGTATGATTCTTTTGGAGGACAGGGATTAATGGCAGCAAGAGAAAGACTAGCAGCCCAAGGCAGGCATTTGGGGAAGCAGGAG